CATTTTGCAGAGGGAGTGGTTTGTGAAGTAACGCCAGCGAGCCATTAAGTGTGGAGATTCCTTATTGGTTGACTGCTGTATCTAGTTTATGTTAAGTAAGATAAGCTGTGTGGAATGTATATATAAAAGCCTCCTGTACTACAATAAATGGCTCCCACTCCTGCTGTATCAATCTACACAAGTTGTTATTTTGCCCAGCCAGCTGGGCTGCGGCATATATATATATGCATATATTTTATGGAACAATTTTATGGAACAAATATATGCATATATTTTATGGAACCAGGGATGATTGAATTCAGGGGCACTTGTACACTGAGCAATATCCTCAGCCCTATTTTGTATTTTATTTAGAGACAGAGTCTCACTGAGTTGCTTAACCTCTGGCTTTTGCTGAGTCTCGCTTTGAACTCATGATCCTCCTGTCTCACTCTCTCAAGCTGCTGGGATTACAGGCCTGCACTACTGCAGCCAGCTATATGCATATATTTAAAAAATGGATTTGCAGTTATTTATTACAATTATTTTTTCATGTTTTTTGTATTACTATGCTTTCTGCTTTTGGTTACATTTGGTGTATAGGTTTTATGTAATTTTAACATATAATATGTGATTCTGATATAATCATATAACAAAACTTAGAAATAGTTGTTTTAAAAATAATTTAGTCCTGCTATTGTCTACACAAAGCACACATATTTGCATTCCATATGCCTCACAAGATACAGAAAATGCTTTCCAAATTATAGACAAAAAAACCTACAATTTGCTTTTAGTAAATAACTAGTATGTGATGGTTAAATACCTGTTATCACTCAAATTTAAAACTCTCAGTTTCTGCATCTGTCCAATTTCTTCAGGAAGAAATTCCAGCTTATTGGAGCGTAGAGACATAACTGTGACATTCTTACAGCTTCCAATCTATTGGTAACAAAAGAAAATAGGTGAAGAGTAACAATGTAGAGCTGTTGTTATATTAATTTTTCTAATTTACTAAACCAATTAACTCATTGATTTCTCTCACTTTAAACTTTCTCTTAATATGTGTACTATCCTTTTTATAATCTTTTAAAAATATTTATATACATATTTAGATATTAAGGCAATATATACCTCATTATTTTAAATATTAACAAGGAAGCATTTTTTTAAAAATCTTACTATTAAAATATCTGTCAACACTATTGTTTTTATGAATCAGATTGTTTTTTCTAAGTAAGTAATAATCTCTATGTTTTTAATAGCAGAGCATACATATTCAAAAAATGAAATATTATTGACAGTTCTTTGGCAAAGCTAATTTTATTTCACATTACAATGTTATTTATCACTTTTATTCATAACTTTTGGCTTTAAAATAATGATATAGTGATTATTTTCCATCATATGGAACTATTTAGTATAAAATGTTAAATTGAAAATATGCTTCACATTCTTTTTTGACATTAGTAAATGAAAGTCTGTTTAGAGGTTAATAATTAACAGAATCTCTTTGTGAATCTGGACGTTAACATGATATTAGTATGTAATTGGAAACCTTACAAATATTTATAGCAATGAAAACCCTTTTACTTTAGAAATGGAAATGTCATTATCCAAAAATGTTACTTCTATTGTTCTTAAAAGCAAAATACATAAATTGTTTAAAATTGTATTCCTTGCATTAACTTATATTTATTATACTTATTTTAATATTTATTATAATTATCATATAATGTTTATTATAATTATTTTATTCTTTGTAAGCGATATTTAAGTCAAATGCATTTTTCTGGTTTAAATGTAAGAATATTTGTCATTTAAAACAGAATGATTACATAGATAATTCCTATACACATTTGCTCAACTCATGAACCTACTCTGCTATTTCATCTGTAAATATTTCATTTAAAAACATATTCATTAAAAATTAATTTATGGAAAACCCACTTCTCTGGGTAATTCTGGAAGGAAATTTTCATCAACTGCTAATGTTCGGAGACTGTGAAGGTAGCCAATAGTAGATGGTAGAGACTCCAGTTCATTACAGCTACAGTCGAATTCTTCTAGTAAAGATAAACTGAAAAGTTGAACACAGTAGTTAGTCATTCTGGCAAATTTTTTTTTTTGCAAAACCACATATCCAATCACCAAACAAAAGTAGTTCATCAAGGATTACAAAATATTACATCAATTCATTAATTTTAATCAGTTTAGTTGAATGGTTCTATATCATTAAATGAGTGTTTTGATTTGGTAAAATAAATAAGGTTAATTTTTTCCACTTCTGAATTTGTCATTCAGCTGAGCCATTGGAAATTATGGAAGAATTTTTATTTTTGTGTTTGTTTATAACTTAGGTGTCATTTTTAGCCTGAAGTTCAGAATGTGTATCTTGGAATGAGTCCCTGAAACAGCACTGAGTAGGTAGAAGAGTGTGGTGGGAGGTCCAATGAAGAGAGGATGAATGGGGAAAAGCAGTAAAAACAAAAACACTAATGTGATTGTATTTTATCAAGCATTTTAGAGATAGAAAGACCTACTAATCTCTCTCTTTTTTTTGGGGGGGGAACCCCTCTATTTTAAAGCTCATTTTATAAATAAGAAAATTGAGGCTTAAATAGGCTAAGAAACTTTCTAAAAGCCATACAAATTGGCAAATCTGGGACTGAAATCAGATAACATGGCTCTGCTACATTACCCTGCCTGTAGACATGCTTTGTTTGCTTTACCTAGAATTATTAAAAAGTAGTAAATATACACTATTGATCCAGATTTTTGGTGCTCCTTGCAAATTTGGTAATACTGGGCCTATATTCTTCCCTGAGAAGCAATGGATATAGAATTATAACTACTGTCTTCAAATGGGCACAGTCCTTTGGTGGGTCTCCTGTTTGCCACAATCCCTACCACTCTATACTTAAATGCTGTATCCTAGAGCCACAGAAAGGAATCATAGGAGTGAAATAAAATCTTAGAATAGTTTTGATTAGGATGTGGGGGAAAAGGCACACTCATACATTGCTGGTGGGACTGCAAACTGGTGTAACCAATCTGGAAAGCAATGTGGAGATTCCTTGGAAAATTTGGAACAAAACCACCATCTGACCCAGCTATCCAACTCCTTGGTCTATAACCCAAAGGACTTATAAGTAGCATACTACAGTGATGCAGCCACAACAATGTTTACAGCAGCACAATTCACAGTAGCCAAACTGTGGAAGCAACCTAGATGCCTTTCAATAGATGAATGGATTCACAAGACTGTGTATGTTAGGCAAAGAAAGAAACTGTGGCATATATATACACAATGGAATATTACTCAGCAATAAAAGAGAATAAAATTATGGTATTTGCTGATAAATGGATGGAATTAGAGAATATCATGCTAAGCAAAGTAAGTCAATCCCCAAAAACTAAAGGCCGAATGTTCTCTCTGATAAGTGGATGCTAATCCATACTGGGGTGGGGGGCACTGGTGAGTGGAGAAACTTTTGATTGGTCAAAGGGAAGGGAGAGGAGGAGAGGGGGCATGAGAATAGGAAAGATGAGATGGACATCATTATCCTAGGTACATATATGATTGCATGAATGTTGTGACCCTACTTTGTGTACAACCAGAGAAGTGAAAAATTGTGCTCTGTTTGTGTACAATGAATCAAAGAGCATTCTGCTGTCATGAATAACTGATTAGAATAAATAAATAAATAAGTAAATGGAATCATAGGAGTGATGTTATTACAAGGAAACAAAAAAAACTTCACTGTATTTTAGCAACATGTGGGAAACAAAGAGATCTTGGAAGAGAAAAATCACTAGCTATATTTAAATTGCCATTGGTGTTGTTAATATTATTACATTGGTATTAGCATTCATACTTTTGCCATTATTGTAGCAGGGAGGAATTCCCAGGGGGAGGAACCTGCCATTGTAAAGGGAAAAATGAAGTCAGTTTGAGTAAGGTTATAGAATCAGCTTTCTTTTTTATATATTGGAAATAGCTAACTTGAATACAGTTTGCTCTCATCATTTATTTAAGAAATTAACATGAAAATCAAGCATAGGAGCTGAAGTGAGTCCGGTGGATTTAGGCCCTAGCCCTGTCAATTACTGGATGTATGATACTGGGTGTCAACAAATAAAAGAAAGACCACTATAGCTCAGAAAACAAAGCTGCTTTTATTTACCTGCCAGGTAAAGGTACACATAGGGAAGAAAATCCAGTAAGTGGTGCTCTGAGGAGGAAAGTCAGTAAAAAAGTAGGGGTTTGTGAGAGTCTGATTGGGTGACAGCATGATTATGTTCACCAAGGATGGAAAACTTGCATTATGAAAAGTATGAAATGGACTCACAGGACTGTGTATGTTAGGCAAATAGAGACCTACTGTCTGTGGGTCAAGAAAACATCCAATACATTTAGGTTCAGTCTGACTCTGTCCAGGGTCACTCAAAGTTCATGATCATTTGAAATTCAACTGGTTAGAACCAGCTATGGCAAAAGGTGGCATTCAACTTTGACTAATAGCTCAAGTGAAATTTTTTCCTTATACATAGATAAGTCATATAACTTTTAAGTCTCAGTTTCTCTTCATATTTGCAATGTGGATACTAATAATTCCTGCCTCGTGTAGTTGCTTTGAATAGTTCATGAAATATTATCAATAAAGCACATAGCATAGTATTAGTCAAAAAAAAACCAAAGTAATTTTTTTCTTTTATTATTAGTGAACCCAATCAAACTTGTTTTTAAATCCACTGAGACACCCCACCCCATAGGGGGTGGTCATGTTCCTGAGGTGCCAGGTGGGCATGCTGTTTGACTCTGTGTGTATGTGTATTTGTGGGGGCAGGAATCAACATATGTGGAAAACTCAGTAAGAGAATATCTATTTATTAAAAACCCTAACATCATGTCTTATACATCTAATGCACTTAATAATTCTTGTAAAATTACATAGAAGGGGTTTCTATGAATAGCTTGGACTCCTGTATTCAGCAAGTGGTGATGAAAGTGACGGGGCATTTTTATAATAAAAATTTCAATTGTACATTCAAAGGGTGAATTCAAACAAGATATTTTAAAAATAACAAAATGAGGATTCTTGTGTTTTCTTTCTTTTATACAAACATATTTTGAAATTGGTCTTAAGCCACAGTAAGGCAGTCCTCAATTTTGCTCAGTGACAGTATGCAGGAGTTTCAGTTGTCATAGTTCATTAAAAAAACACTTGTTCCCCAATGACATGGTTTAAATTTCAGTTACTTGGTATTTTAAATGTAGTGACTCTATAAAGTATCAAGCTTTCTTCGGTTCACAAATCACAATGTAAATGTGAATAATAGATGAACATCATGATCAACGAACAGTTACATCACTGTCTTCAAAGTTGTGATGGGCCATGCACATCTGTTACTATGTTCACAGACAGCAAATCATGTATCTGTTATTAGGCTCACATATCAACAGCAAAATATGTTGTCTGTCTTCCAGCAGTAGACAGATAGTATAGGCAAAATAATTTAACTGTTAAAACACTGTTACTGTTGGATACAGCTCTTGGTTGCTCTAATTCTCTTGGAGATTTATGTGAAAATATGAAAATTTTCTACTTATCACAAAGGACAACTTCACTAATCCAGCCAATGGACCATGCAGTTATTTAAACTTTTAAAGCCCATTATCTTACACAGACTTTGGTATAGGCCATTCATGCCACAACTGGCGATTATACAATTTCATTGCCTGAGTTCTGGATGAAATATGATATGAAACATAAAAATAAAAATATTTGAGCCTCGTGGTAGGAAGTAACAGCAAGTAATATGTGTGTGGCATGGCAGAAATTTTCACCACACTGTGCAAATAAACTTAGCAGGATTTCAACAGAGTATAAATGGTGTTAGAGAAGCCACAGGTGACTGTGGGGCTGTTGACACTGCTCCTGTTAGGGAATCCCAGATAAGCTGCCAGGGGAACTTAGCGAAGGCACGCTTACCCACATGAGTGAGGAAAGTGGTTGTAAGAAGAAGAGGTTTCAGAGTAAGTGACCTAGCAGTACATATCATGCAGAAGGGACTCTCACAGACATTTCACAACACTGGAAGCACAAAGCATAAAAATCTGGAAGCTGCCAGGTGAGGTGACAGAGGCCTATAATCCCAGCGACTCGAGAGGCTGACTCAGGAGGATCATAAGTTCAAAGCCAGTCTCAGCAATTTAGCAAAGCCCTAAGCAACTCAGTGAGACTGTGTCTCTAAATAAAATACAAAAAAAAAAAAAAAAAAGCTGACAATATGGCTCAGTAGTTAAGTGTCCCTGGGTTCAATCCCCAGTACCAAAAACAAACAAACAAACAAAAAAAACTTATCCAAACTTGAAAAGGACTATAACAATCCACTGATGTTCACCTTGTATCATAACTTATATTATGGAAAGAAGGCAGGTGATGCTCAAGCTAAATTTGGTGTTTTACAAAACAAAACAAATATTACATCTCAGTGTTCCTAGTATTTAAAAATATAGTATACTGAACAAATATTAGTTTTATTATTTTTCAAATCCCCTATATTTATAATGGACAGTATGAGCGTGTAAGGGTATGATAAAAGGTTTAAAGACTTTTTGTGAAAATGATCATAATTTTTCACATTGGTTAAAACCATTTTGCACAGCAGATTACACAATAATTTTTATGATCGCCTCAATGCCTCAACTTATTGTGATTTATTTATTTATAAGGAATATGTATTTGATATTCAATATGTTCTTGGTACAGACCTCTTAAAATCCTTGGAATCTTCAAAGTAATAAGTGCTTTTCTGTATACTAATGAGATGACTTGAGATTAGGGGCTCTTACAGAGCTTCAGGATGGGAGCTGCTTGCCAAGGAAACCAATCATGTCATTAGAAGTTTGAAGTGTCAGTCCCACACCCTGACAACTGGGAAGAGGAGAGAGGCTGAGGTTGAGCTGATCACGAAAGGTCAGTGATGTATAATCACCACACTCATATATAAAGCTTCTATAAGGACCCCAAAAGACGGAGGTTCAGAGAACTTGTGAGTTGCTGATTGCATGAG